AAAAAAATTATTTTAGGCGTAGAATTTCAATGCTATGACATGTTTTTTGCGTGAGTAACAAAAAAAATAGAAGAAATTTAGATACAATACTTTCCTCACAAAAAACCAGAAAATTTAAATTTATTACTAAAATACTGTAAAATTACCTTGAAACTGTTTCAGTTTGTCATCCACCTACCAGAACACAAATCAAATCTTTCATATACAGTATGGTTCGGGAAGCTCTATGGGGATTATTGGTGAGGATGTCATTGAGGTTTGTTGTATCATTTGCATCAGCTTTCACCTACCTCGGAGAACATCATTTTATGGGTATGAAAATTGTTTGAGTGTCTCACAACGATTATTTTTTTAGTTCTTAGTATTCAGTGAAGAAAAACTTTTTATCGAAATTTTGGTAAATAAACGCTTGCCTTTAGATTCCACCTACATATATTGTAAAAAAAAGCAAAAAATACACTCAATGTGGTTGAAAAAATTTTATAACACGACTGCATGCAAAAAATTATAGGCAACCTAAGTTGATAATATACTCATTTGATGGAATATAAAGTTCTGTGCCATTGACTGTTACGGTCAAGTTTTTTCTTTTACCTTGTTGGTCACAATCAATCACGTAAATATCATCTTCTGCTTCGCATTAGCTTTGCAAATTCAGTTTTCAACTGTCAGCTCACTGAATTGTTATAGTTCGCATCACTGTCATACTCAAAGCAAAAGTTTGGCGTTGCGATATCCATTGCATCTATATTTGGTTACCAACCTGTAGATGGCATTATGGGTTTGGCTTGGCCATCACTAACTGGTGCAAGCACTGTTCCACCAGTTCAAAACATTTTACCACAACTCGACCAACCGTTGTTTACGGTTTATTACAAACGGTATCGACTTCAAATTCTCAATTTTCAAAGAAGATACATTTTTAGGCAGTTGTGTTGACGCTTAGAAGATGCTTTAAACAGTAGATTAGTGGCTGATTAAACCCTAGTCCTCTTCGGAACTTTTGACCCTCTTCAACGAACTCAGTTTTAGCAATTACTTGTTTTCTAATAATGCGGTTGACGGTGGCCTGATAACCTTCGGAGCGATAGATTTAGAACATTGTTCAGAGAACATTTTTTATGTGCCTCTTTCTTCAAAATCTTATTGGCAGTTCACCATTAACGGGTTTGCGTTCAAATTACAGTAATTTTTTTTTAAAATCTGATGTAAACGTCAAATTTTCATAGCTTAATTATAGTAACTTTCTACTGCCTGCTTCCTCCCAGTTTTTGAAGACTATAACGAATTGTTTTTCGTAGTGATTGAGTCGATTTTCAGTGTTAGTTTCGGCGATTATAATATGACTAAAAATTATGAAGCTATTTCGGACACGGGAACATCTTGGATTGGCGGACCAAGCGCCGTTATAGACGAACTAGCCGGTATCGCTGGTGCCGTTTATGATGCTGAAGATGATATTTACGTGATTGATTGTGACGAACAAAGTAAAGGAAAAAACTTGACCGTAACAATCAATGGCACAGAACTTTATATTCCATCGAATCAGTATATTATCAACGTAAGTTGCCCATAATTTTTTGCATGCAGTTGTGTTATAAAATTTTTTCAACCACATTGAGTGTATTCTTAGCTTTTTTTTACAATATATATAGGCGAGATCTAAAGGCAAGTATTCATTTACCAGAATTTCGATTTTTAACCGCTGCTAAAAATTACTTAGGCACAATTCATGAAGATAACTACTATTCGATCACATGAGAGACCTTGAATAAAGTCTTCAGAATAGAGAGTTTTCATTCTGTCATATTTTTATGTGTAAATTAAAAAACTGGCAAAAAACTGCTGGAATTTAGTTTTTTAAATCTATTTAATACTACAGCTTGATTTGGGGGATAATCAGTGTGCGATGACGTTCTTTCCGATTGACCTGTCCGGTTTTGGTCCGCAGTGGATTTTTGGGGCTACAATGATCCGAACATACTGTCAAATATATGATGTTGGTAACGGCCAACTTGGTTTTGCAACTGCAGTTCAATAATTCTTTAATCACTGGTCACCAATAAAATTCCTTTGAACACTTATGCTACTTCATCTTGGCCTTCTTCGCAACAGTACAAAAGTACGGTCCACATAAGCCATTACAGCTCCATCAACTCCTACTAAATATATATGCCTAGGTATTGTCAGTTAATTTTTTTCTTGATATTCAGTAACGGTTGTTGTATTTCTTAGCTTGCTAGAAGTTTCATGAAGATTGTTAATGTTTACCAAATAAGCTATGCTGTTCTGTAATTCTCATTTTTCGAGTGCTAACGCATCAAAAAGATGATAGTTGTTTTTGCATCGTTCTGCTAAAAAATGTTAAACTATTACCAAAACATTGGTTTAGGATATTCCCTGCTTATTTTATAAATTTTTTCTGTCTGTGAATTTGGGTCAGTTACTCTGCGAATTTGAGTCTACATCAAAGTTTTTGTCACAATTTTCCACAGCAGAATGTGTTAATAGCGGTGCAGTGCCATAGTTCATCATTTTCTTTTGCTCTTGTTAAATAAAGAATTTTGTTCAATATGCATCTGTAAACGACAGTTGATAAAGCTTTGAAATGGTCTAAACTGCTTAACAATTCCGTATAATAAAAAAGGATTAGACAATCATGTTTACCGTTCCTTAATTTACAGATGCATCCCTGTTTTTGACAAATAATCATATTACTTTTTTTTTCTTCAGATATCTACAAGACCGACTTCTCTGGTTTATTTTGTTACTGACCTAATAATTGGTACAAGCAATAATTTTCTGAGGCCTCTTTGAGTCAACCAACTTATTGTCACCTTTCAATGTATCACGTTCATAACCGTTTTATTTGGTTATGTATTGTAATCTTTTTTTTTCTCCTGTCCTAGCAGTTCGGCCATATAAATTTCCAAGTCTGAGCGACAATGCGTGC